ACGGTTGTTCCTCCCGGTTACCTTTAACAACGATTCGTTCGATCACGACCTCCGCCTTCTTCGTCCCCGCCTTTGTTTTCAATTCGACGCGGCACGCGAGACGCGGAAAGAGGATTAACTATCACGACGCACCGTTCGAGTTTGTTGTCCGACTTTCGTTTACAACCTACCAGGGCCTGTTCGCCGGCTTGATCCTATCCAGACCGTAAAAACCTTCGGTGAACGGGGACGTACGCAATGAAAACCTCTCACCCTTTATCATCGCCCAATTCACCTTGGTCCCCGTGTGTTTTTATTCAGCGTCGCCGAGTCATGAATTCCGTGCACGCGAGGAACTGTTATCCGGACGGTAAAAAAAAAAATGCCCCGTCCTTCCGTATGGACGCTTTACGAGCTGCAATTCGACGCTTCGTCGGCGTGGTTCGGCCCGGAAGTCGATTAGAACGCACCCCTTGGCGAAGATACGGCGTCGTTTTATCCACCCCCTTCCGGAGTAAAGAACACTTCCGTGACGTAGGAAAATTACCCAGCGAACTCGAGCTGAATTAAAAAATAGCGTCCCTCTGTGGACCACGTAACCTGTTTGCGAAATCTTGATACGTTCAGGAAGGCACCGGCGAACGCGAATGGCAAACGGGCGCGCGAAACTTCGATATTCTTTCCGGTGAAAGTAATCGAAAAGTTTCCGGTATGGAAACTATTCGCTTGAATAAAATAATCGTATAAATTCCGTGAAATAATATCGAAACGTTCGATCTGTCGAGTCAGATTTCTACACTCCGTGCGGTAAACTTTACGTTTTATTATGTGCGTTCCTCTGAGAGGTCGAAAAGATGTCCCAGGAATCACGTAATCCAGGATGTACAGGATACATTTCCGTTCTGACGAGATTGTGTACTTTGAAATCGTAGGAAAACGCGTTTCAGGGAAATAGAGGACCTCCAACGTGGTAACAGATCTCGACGAGAATTCGGAAGAATTCAATCTCTGGTTCCCTCCATTTACCCTCGGTTTCGTAAAGTTCTCCGACCATCTACCGAAATTTCACAAGAATCTGTTCAATGACGCTGAAAAACCTGTCGGCGATAATTCTCCAGTGGACAATACTAGAAACGCTGTAAACTAAGTGGTACCAAAGAGCGAAACGTACTGATCACGCAAACGGGATGAATAATAAATCCCCGAAATATGGAATATTTCTCCAAATACACACACCCATCAAAGATGTTTCGTTCGAAAGAAACGTTCCCATAAATCCCCGTTAATCGTGATACATCGTAACTACGATCGAAACGGCAAAACTTCAACGAGGTATATGGGCGGCGCCACTTACCAATGATCGTTGGATATGAATCGATATAACGACGGTATTTAGACTATAAAAAGTCGAACGAGGCGAGTCTTATCGCGTGGAAGTAAAAGTATAATAAACAATCATTTATGTCGTTCGTTTGGGCCGCGTTACTATTCCCTCCACGAACGATTATGGTCGTTTGGACAGTCCTCCGCGTAATATTCCCTGGAACGTCCCTGTTATGAAGGATCGTTCGAGCTTCGTGGGATATGGATCCTGTGGATTCGAGAAGGTCATAAAACTCGTGATGACTCGCGATGGTCCGTAAGAGAGACAAAGAGATGGGAAAACTGGGGACACCGAAAGGAATTGTTCGAGGGTTGCAGAAAGGGACAAGAGGAAGAAGAAGGACGACTCGGACAGAACACGGACACGCCTACGTAATCAAACCGGGCCGCTTAAGGCCGGCCGAGAAGAAAAGGCAAACAAACACTGGCTGCGATGCGGGCGGGGGGAGGGCAGGAGTTACCCCTCGGTAAATTGGGTTAGTTTAAATCCGTTTACGTTAACTCTAATAGCGGAAGCGTGGGCTGCATGTGGCATCGACACCGAACTCTTACGCAGCTTGAGAACCCCTTTTATACCCGACGAGGCTGGTATCGATCATTCCGGTGATCGTGCCTGCGCCCCCTCTAACATCTGAAAGATTTCATCGCGGTCGGTGCCCGTAAAATATCTATTTCAATTGGCACGACTGGGGAGCGTGTAGTAATTGGAAACCAGCAATTACGCGGTAGTTTGTTGCGGGAATGATTCTTTTCGGTCGACGGTTCCTCTGGGAAACGTTTATCGCGAGAGTGTAGGTGGGATATACAAGGAGTAATGTATGCTTTGCGTGGAGAAGATTATGTTTTCATTTCTGTTTTTATCCGGTGCATTTTAATACTCGAGCTTTTAGGGTGTGAAATTTACCGCACACCGGCTGCTGTTCTGAATTCTTTTTATATAGAATCGCGAGCGGAGATTAAACTTTTGTGAAACGTAATCCTATTAAAATGTATTATGGTTCATTTAAAATATTTTGCGTGTTTTCATTGTGTTTTGGAGAGTGAAAGAGGTACAGTGTATCTACGGAGAGCACAAAATCTGTCTGACTGCGGACCAACCACTACTAGTTTCGTGCTCGTTCATAATTTCTTTAGATATTTTTTTTTTTTTTATTCAACGACCAGCACGTAAGGTATTTCCACAATTACCTCGTATAATTTCTCACTTTTGCACAAATTTTAGAGTGAATGTATTCCATGTAAATTATACATTCCAACCCCAGTTTAAAATTAATTTTCCTTTAGAACCAAATACATTCACTTCTCAAAGAGACCACTTCGTGCTGAAATTCAAAGAAGGTATTATCGTCTACACTATGGTTCAATGAACCAGTCAAAAACAAATATTTAACGAGCACAATAATGGTCGAAGGAACACGGACCACATGTTTGGTCAGTTCTGGATTCAGCAACTAGTCTCATTTGTCCCTGTACTGCGCCCAAGGGCTTGAGGGAAACAACCCTCGTGTGGCAGGTACCGCCTGACTTGACCAAAGCGAAACAAAAACTTCTTTCTTCTTCCTCGTTTAATACCATCCCTCTGTTTTCTAATATCGTCGTGAACATAATATTGTCAGTCGTTCTTCAGCTTTCATACGGGTCAGATGTGTTTGGTAATTATTGTGTCCTGTGTCACATCCGTGTAAGTTCACAAATCAGTTATTTTTTTAGTTTTATTCGTGAAATACCTATTAAAAATCTCTGTATTAGTATATGATATAGAATTCATGTGTATAATATAGATATTTAATTGACCTTTAACTGAATCAAGTCAGGTAACATTTACGTAATTGAACGGGCAACGTGAAATGCTTAACCTCTGTTACAAAATGGCTACAAAATAGTCGCCCTCTCGATAAATTTTGCAGCAATTGTTTTCACAAGTACTCACTTCGAATGCAGTTACGCGCGTTTATTGAAACGTCAAGCCGGGTTTTGTTTCGTTCGAGCGTTATATTGCTCATTGAAAACGATATCTTGCACGAGGAAAATTTTGCGCGAAATCGTATTGACGTTTCAGCATACACGGTGCAAGCGGAACAGAACCCCTAGCGGAAATATTACATCGCGCGGAGTATACCGAGTTTTTCCGTTGTAAACATCGGCCGTGATCACCGTGGACACTTAAGTGAATTAACTCTAGAAAACGCTCGTCCGTTGGATCACTGTGCCATGTGATATTTTCATGAGTTCGCTTGATCCTCACGCTACTACTAACTTGCAAATGTTCCTGTCATTTACTTTTTTACATGGCTTATTAATGTAGATACTGAATTGTCCAACAATGAATCCCTTAATCGGTATTAAAAAGAAGGGACACATTCTCCTGGGATTATCATCTTGAGTTTCACGTCAGGTACTTCATATATTTTCAACAGTAGTGTGTCGTTATTTCACAGACACAGAGAGAGAGGGAGAGAATAATCGGGTCGAAGATTGTCCCGAGATTTGTGCGCACGAGCACACGTACCTGGAGGGTTTCCATTAAACTGATGGCGTCCATTATAGGTATCACGGGGCGGAGGGGAAGGGGGGTGGACTTGTGCACACGCGGAAAGATGGACGTAAAGTCTGCCCGCGATGTCCGCGAAATTATAGCCGATAGGCGATGATATCCATTTGGCCCCATGGCTACGTCCGGCCATCTGTGTATTTAGCCAACATAATGGCGAACCGTGTGTGTTCGTACGCGAGAGAGCCACGTCCGCCATTGACTCCGATCGTATCAGGCAGCGGCGATCCGAGAGAAAGAGGGAGAGATTTACCCGACATTTTTAACGATCGACGTTTAATGAGAATATGTCGGGCTGTCTGGCTCTATTTTCATCTTTCATGAAACTCGACGCTAGCTTTTCAATATCGCGAAAATGGAAAAACAATTTTACCTCTGAATTATAGGGACTATGCTGAAAATTGGAAGCTGGAAGCTTAATAAAAGTTTAATGGCGTTTACAATCGGAATGTGGAACCCTGTTCTAAACTTAATTTATAAATAGAACTTTAGACGGGTAAAAAGCATTACTATCTTGAACATGTATTTTTGCTTATTTATATCCCAAGGTATAATAATTGAGTTATATAACATATAATAATATAAGTATTAAACCTTTATTAAATAATATTCAATGTTTTAAAATGAGAGTGATAGAAATATAATGAAAAATTGAGTGGAGTCGGCACAAGAAGGAACTATAACTTGGGTCGGATGCGACCCGGACCTTACCGTTAGAGGGTTAAAATGGTCAACATACCACGAAATAGAATTTCGGAAGTAAGATGATGATTCCAGTAATCATGGTAGAATGAAAATGGTGCATCTTTGTATGGTCAACCTTCGATAACTATTCTTTTTCTCGCGTTTCTCTGACATTTCTTTCGTATTTTTTCAGGTGCGGGCAATGACGGTCCCGCGAGGATTCTCATCGACGCGTGACGTGCCTCGAATATGTGCGCACCTGTGTTGAAGTGTACGTGAAAACGATCTAGTTCCGTGTGTAGTATATGTATCCGTTGTTCGGGAGCATCGTATTTTGTCTCGCGACGGAGCACGCAAGAACGATGTCATAGTCAGGTGCCAGCTGGAAGTCACGTCTGACACAATGGCACTGTTGTTCGCCATCATTGTCGTCTTGGTTACCACTGCCATGTCGCTGCCGCCAGTCATCAGAATCGGTAAGTGCGGAGACACGTAATTTTGGAAAATTTAAAAACGGTTAAATTCAAAGTTGATCTCCAAGATCATAGCAAAATGTAAAAATACGTACACGAAACGAGCTATCATTAGTCAGAATTAAATTTCTACCTGTCAGAATTAAAATTCTGCCACGGTAAACGTAATATAATGTTCTGCACGATATAGCGCTCGCGCGAAAATACATCCCCGAGGGTTAATTACGAAATTACCACGAATTTTCCACGATCTGTCCCCATCGTTTGCTCCGTGTAAGGATCTTTAAGCGCTCTCGATTAAATTTATATCACTGCTGTCGCGACCCTTTTCACGATGTGGCCTCTTTTTCAAGGGCGGACGAAAAAGAAACCGAAGAACATTTATCGAACGAAGTCAGGTTAATCTTTGACAGGTCGGTTGGAACTAACCGAGTTTTAATTACTTCTACGACTAATTAACGCCTGAAGAAATATCACTTTTTTCGTCGTTCCGTCCCGATATACATATATAAGCCCCTTCCACTCAGGAAAGTAGTTAACGCACGAGACACTCTCTGCCGCGCTGATAAATTTAATTTAACGGGCTGTCTAATTAAGTACTCTATGAGTTAATTAGCCTCTCCTCGTGGTTCTTTCTTTTTTTAATCCACGCGTCTCTTCCCTGACAACCTCCGCGTGCTGCACTCGCGAATTATATCAGTAATAAACTGACTCGCGAGCGAAGCTTTGGATGGCACCGAGCTTCGAGTGTCAGAGTTAAACGACATAAATTAAAATACCAAATTTTCCGCATTTTTATCACCGAACAGCGTATGACACGCGAGATCCCCCGGGAAGCGAAGGGATCCCAGGGTGTAGGTAAACGAAAACCCAAGCAAGGCACTCTAATGGCAAACGATTCGTTCCTCAAACCGAGCACCTCTTACACCGCTTAAGCCAGTTGCACGAACTCGGTGCACGAGGAGACGTAATTCCCCACGAAACAGGACACTGAAAAATTGAGCATCCTCCTCGTCGTAGTAGTCACTACGTGACCGCACTCGGAAGTCCGCGAGAGGACAAGCCGCGATGCGACGCGGAGACGCAGCGCGTAAACACTGTGAAGCCTTGGCTCGTGTGGGATCGAATCTTCACCTGTTACCGAGTGACTTCATCAGGCCTGCTTGGTATTCCGTTCGCGATTTTCGTGGCCACAGTGACGTAGGGTGGGGTGGGGGACGTGCATCGGATACTACGGTCCGTCGTGTGTCCACAGACACGTGGAACCAGGGTTTACGAGCACCACACTCACACATACACACACACCTAGGCGGTTCGCTTCTGGACCACCTTACCAGGCCAGGCGGCGGAAACTTTCCGTCGGTGTAATTGGTCGAATTTCAACATGGTGAACCGCCGCTGGGGAAACTTGGCCGCAATTGGAGTCTTCCTGTTGACGGAGGGAAGAGGGTGTTTAACGAGAGAGGGTTAAGTGAAAGGAGGAATCACTGGCTGAACCATGGTAGGAAGCAACGGGCGTTGGAAAGGTGGGAAGCGATAGGGAATTGATGCGCGATGAAATGCGCGATAAACGATTCTATTTGAACTGAACGAGTTCGATTGAATTATATTATCATTTTCATCGGTAATATATTACGTATCGATTTATATATATGTAGTTTTTCTAAAATGGCTGAGGGTGTTTCAGACGTGCATAAATCTCCGTCGATCGAATCCCATAAAAGAGTCGATAATACTCTCCTCAATACGCATCCGAAGTAGTCATCGACCTGATCGCCGTAATCAGAATCGACACTGACGCACGATCTCGCCGGGAGACAGTTCCTTGGGTCCTAGGCAACATCAATCTTCCGATGCATTGTCGTTCCCTTACCCAGTCGAGGAAATCGTATTTCCTCTATCCCCGGAAAGTGGAACGGATCTTATTCAGGATTTCGAAGGGAGGGGTGGAAACTGTGGAGGCACACGGTGTCGTATCGATGCCCCGAAAAGTCTGTCTGCCATCGATATCCCGCGTGCAAAACTTCATCGGGATTCACCCAGGGGCCTGAAACACTGGCTGGATTTAACTTTGCGCGAGTAACATCGAGTCCCGTTCGAATCCTCCAGAACTCGTGGGATTACTTGTTGTGTCGATTCATTAGGTGATCACGTAATTCTCGAAGAAATTTCGAGACCGTCTTTTGCAGCCCATGGTGCTAGAGGAATTAAATGTTTTCTGTTGGGATGAACGGAATGTTCGTGCGTCTTTGGCGAGATGTCTTTGTACCATTAAAATTTTACCAAGATGGTATTAAAAAAGTCGTGGAACGGTGAAAATGAGTAATAGAGACTAATGGAAATTATGTCATTGACTAAATAAATCATATTTTGTGAAAATAATTCTATGAATTTATTTAAAATAAAAATGCACGAACTTTCCGTTTAATCCAATACGTAACTGAAAAGTATCATAATTAAAACTGCCACAGTGAAAAAGGCCATACGTAGTCAGGCATGCTTTTTAAGTCATAAATCGCCGAAAATATATCCCTTTAGTTAATAGAGGCTGTCGATCTTGTCTTAAATTATGCTGCGCTATTAATTCCGCGCAAAAACTTTGGTAACAGTGTTTAAATTAACCCGGCTCTCTGTGCAATATACGTGTCACCAATATTTGGACAACGTTGCAGTCAAAGTGTTAAAAATTGAAAGAATATCGACAGCTGTGGCTGACGTTTCTGTTAAGCCAGGTAAAACGCGACAATAGATTGCCCCGAGGAAATTACCAACAATTATAAACTCCACGTTGAAAATACCCTAGAAATTGATTTTAATTTTCCCATGATCGATATATTTTTATTTCGATTTACGCGCACTCAGACGAAGCAAAATTATAACAACGTAGCCCAGTAACGAGTCGTGTGGCATTCACTGAACTGGTGGTTGGGATAACCAGTTTCGTAACTGTTCCGAGGCTCGCCGTTGCGTTTACTCCACCCGCGCGAGTCACACGCAACAATAAACAATACGGTTCGTGGCGTAAACGCGTAGTCTCGTCATCTACCCCGATAGAACAGTGACAACTCGTCGTCCTTTCACATCCGGCGAACCAGCAGGTAGATCGGCCACAAAAGCTTTACAAATTCCGCGTCCAGACGTCTCGTGATTTTATTTACCTGAGAAAAAATATTTCTTGTCACATCTCCTATGTCGTCGTCGCTGTTCGAGCCGAAAGACGACGGACTCTTGCCTTCGTCGACGGGATTGAAAAGGTTTGCTCGTGGGGCGATCGGAAAATTACGACGAGCTGCGGGGCCGCCATTGAACATTCCTCGTATAAATGAGCTTCAATGAACTCGTGGAACGGAAGGGGAGTTGTCATGGTGCTAACAGTATTAAAGGTTTGCAGCTCTCGACGACCACCCACGGAGAATTATAATATGCTTAGAAGCTCTATGAAGGTGTGGTTGTTCAGCCGCCATATGGGAATGCTGGCAATCTTCGCCATGGATGTTTTCAAACGAATCCTTGCGTATAGTAGGCGGACGGAAATGTTTAATTAGAAGCTTCTTTTCAACGGCAATTGACCGAGCATCTGGGGGCGTGAGAGAGGGTGGGGGTGATCCTTTTTCTACTTCTATGTTACGTGTATTCAAGCTTGGAAAATGAAAATTTCCATCTATGTTGTATTTGTTCTGGGCGAGGAAGGAACTGGTAATTTGAGGCTGGTTATTCGACATCTTTCAGTGTCAGGACGCATTTGCAAGTTCACGATTTCAGATACAAATGTCTAAGAATTAAAATGGGACTGAATTCGAAATTTTAAATTGTAACAAAGAATTTTTAAAAACAATGAACTATTTTTCCAAGTGTTCATTTGATAATCCCACAATCACTTTCTGGACAAGTTAAGAACAACAAACAGACGATAAGAGGGGAGGTCCGTCTTCGTGTAGTCACAATTTCCACGTGTTCCACGGGGAACAGCGTAATTAGAACGAAGTTATTTGGCGTCTATCTCGAATTCAGAATTAGACGAGTTTCCGGGACAATCCGAGCGAAAGCCTACGGTATAACGAGAACACCGGCTGTTTCGAATCTTCCTTCAACTTGCGAGAGCAGCGAACACGATTATGCGAGCACTAGATAAATCATCTTCATCCTGTGGAGCAATGCTCCACGCGATTCTTCCGTTAAAGTCTCCGTGAAAATTCCTCGAAACTAGTTTGGATGAATTTTATCGATTTGGTCAGAGTAGTAGTTCTCTCATGGATCCTGAAACTTCGTTTGTCTTTCTGTCGTTGTTCCCCCAGTCGATTTCTCTTTCGACTGGGCTCTCGCGGCCCCTCCGATAATCGCGTGTTCACCCTCCCACCAATTCCCCCGAACGATGATATCGAACGATTATTCACGAGTGTTTGCCCCTGTTTTTACGACTGTGTTACCTCGAGCAATCGATGGAAAAAGGAAATACTTGAGGGGAGCGTTGCGCAGAACGTAGTTATCGGAAAATGCTCGAATCGGACCTGGGCAGTTTGGATTTTGAGACAAAATTTACCACCGGTTCAATCTTCCATTTCAAATATCGATGTTAATACGGTAAAAAATGATCCTACGTTACCATGTAAAAAATTGTGTTCGGTTTCACGGCACAATATTCGACGATTACGTTTCACGATTTTTCTAATGGGGAGTGGAATCGGTTATCTCGTTGGATTGTTAGTTACGCGTTCGTTACAAACCGCGGATTTTAGCGGCGTTCTAACGCGAAGATAAAATCAATTTGTTCGTACGTGTTTGACTGCGAGAACGCGTTGCCTGGCGTTCCCGCGCGACCGACGGAAATTATTCGTAATAACACCTTTCACCGGCACTTCCAGTTGGTGCTCTCGACCGTTTCGCGGTGCGCGCGCCCGACGATATCTTATTCGTGCTGGCGCGTACGAGGGAAATAACGATAAATGTCACGGGAAAAGTCTCAGAACTGGAAAACGATATGTCCGCGATTATTCGTCTCGCAG